CCGAAAAATACGGTAATCCAATTTGCAATAATAACCTAAAACTCGAGACAAAAACCTACACTGTGCGCAAATTTATAAAGTTGACTGAGAAACGTGAACTGCGACGAATGTGAATAAAATCAAAGACACGAAAGTGGGTACTGGGGCACACAAACTTTCACGTGTCATTTGACTACTAAGGAGAATGTTAGGCTGTCCGCTTAGGCCTAGCGCTATTGTATGTTATCATATGGAAACAAATTAGCACACAAAATATAGTTGTATGAGGAAATGGGGGCGCTTCTCATACTATTTGTTTGTTTGTTTGGAATTAAGCACAAAGCTACACAATGGGCTATCTGTGCTCTGCCCACCACGGGTATCGAAACCAGGTTTCTAGCGTTATAAGTCCGCAGACACACCGCTGTACCACTAGGGGCTTCTCATAGTAAAACACCTATCTGTAAGTGGAGTTGTATTGCACGGTTCAGCTGATAGTCCTAGCTGAGGAGGTTTTGAGAAATATTTTAGCATGTCAGATGATATGATAAGTTTTCCTGCTTGTATAGCAAAACCAATGTCATATATGTAAAAGCAGTGTCAAAACTGAATTATACACAGAATTAAATTTACATATGGTTTGTTTAATGACGAATTAGAGACATTTTGAACTATTAATTGAAACGTCAACGCATGAGAACAAAACTGTGTAAAAAATAACTGTGGAAAATTGAATACATACCTTATACAAGTATCGACGACAGAGTGAATACATGATTTACAAAATAAAAATTGGGAAATAAACTCAAGCCCGAGATGTGAACAGAATAACATTCGAACTAAGTGCCCGTGTGAATGTATGATTTAAAGAAGGGTGAGAGAGTGAACTGAATAACAAATAAATTGGATGTCGGTATTGTTATACGGTTTAAAGAAGGGTAAGAGAGTGAACTGAATAACATATAAACTGGATGTCGGTATTGTTATACGGTTTAAAGAAGGGTGAGAGAGTGAGCTGAAGAAAAAATAAACTGGATGTCGGTATTGTTATACGGTTTAAAGAAGGGTGAGAGAGTGAACTGAATAACATATAAACTGGATGTCGGTATTATTGTACGGTGTATAGAAGGGTGAAAGAGTGAACTGAAAAACATGTGAACAATGAGACAATAAAACCTAAAAACAAACGCTACAATTTTCTTGCCTCCGTTGTCTCTCGAAAGATTTATTGTCGTGACAAAGGAGAATTTAGTACACTTGCTAAACTATATCTTTTGTTACTTTCAAGATTTAAGACAGAATAGACATCTCAGAAATCTTTGGCATGTCGATTCGATGGAATGTCCATAACTTGTTTGTTTGTTTTTAATCCACCTTTAGCGACATTTTAGATCATTCTCCCATTTCTCCTTAACGCCTTCAAGTGAAACTTTTCAATAAACTTACTAGATGAGGTTCGAATCTCACATCCCGCTAGTAAATCTACTGCGTTTCTTGATTTTATAAAAATAAGGGTTAAAATCAACAACAACCATGACATTAGTTTTATATATATACATATGTTATATAGACGACATAAAAACGGTGTGATGAGCTTTAAAATTCCTATGTCAGCGTTATATTTGTTACTTCTGACCGAATGTTTTCTGTATTCCGAATTATAGTAAAGATCATTGAAATTGGTTGAGGGGAAAAAGAAACTGGTGCTGGTTTAGGAAGACTTTTGTTGAATTTACTTGGTGTGTTTAGAGGAGAGAGGGAGTTTCTGTATTGTATTCTGTAGATACTAAAGAACGAACATTTTTAAAACCAAACTTTCTTCCATCGTGTATCCTGTTTAGCAAATCCTTGTCGAGCCCCCACTGGATAAAAACCTAGATTCCCTTCTGAATAATAGCTCGGTAATAAATGTATACACCTTCCTTATATTTAGTATGTACTAAAGCGTATATGTACATTTTAAAATTCTAGCATCTTATCCGGACCTTTTCAAACATTTTCTTCAATAACTATAAATAATGCTTAGTAGGACTGATTATCCTAAAGTTATAACACTGTCTAAATTCTGGACTTTTGACACCAGATACCGCACGACAAGGCTACTGGCAACGTATTCTACGTATAATGTATATATCCTTAATTTAGACGTCAGATGGCGCTCATTATGAAGTTTATTTCTGACACTATACCAATTAACTTTACAAGTTTGACTCCGATATCACATAGCGCTTGGTTTTTAATATCAGATGGCACTCGATAGAACGTTTTATACCTAGAACACTTAGAGGCCTTTTAACATTAGAAATATTACGTTTGTAGTAGTTACTAAGAGAGAACAGCGCACCATCTACAGTGGTCATACTATTTTTATAATTCTGAGTTACTAAAGATATAAACATCCGGATATAAACTATCCCACATGCTCAACGGTAAGTCTAAAGGCGTATAACGCTAAAAACCAGGTTTCGATACCCGTGCTGGACACAGCACACATAGCCCATTATGTAGTACTGCGCTTAACAACAAACAAACATATACACCCATATGCCGTTACTACACGGTTAATTGAACTAAATAGATATGCTGGTTTCTAATGGCAGTTGGAAGTCCCATGGTATCAATAACAAACCAGGACATCCTAGCATTGCAGATATTTTAGCTTGAGTTTTAGCCTGATGCAGTGATGTTACGTCTTGCACACGGCCAGATTGTTAAAAGGTGTAATAACACGTAAGCTGGCGAAGCATTCTCTGTTGATCAGTTGTTAGTCTCACACTAAAACTGACAACAATTTGAAGCTTCTTTTTCTTACTGATCCTTTGTTGAGTTCCTGTAAGAAGAGTGCATAACAGCGTTTCACTAGTTTTGATGTGAGGTAACACCAACTGTCCTGTTAGAAGGCTTGCCTCGTCACGTTGTTTGTCAAGATAAAGTGTGGGAGTGACATTAGATGTTAATCACTTTGATGATCAAGTCAGGATAAACATCGGGGCGATAAATATGGTGATTCTATTGTCTTTAAACATCAGCAAATTGAGTAAGATCTAATGTCATTTCTAAACATACATGTTTGCGAAAATGGATTACATGCATCTGTCCTAATTGAGTCTATTTTAGGAAATTATATTTACGTACAGTCCGTCTTTGCTAATATACTGTCATTTATAAAATATACTCCAAAAACACAATACTTATTTTTAAACTTTAAAACTTCTTTTCAGATCATGGTCAGTGGATTTTAAGAAAGCAACAGTTGGGTTTTTCCGAGTTTCGAGTCTTAATATAACTTCATATTTCTGGGTTACATATTATATCCATATGATACCTTACTTTTGTAAAGGTTTTAAAAAAATCTTAAACCCGAAAAACGTTAGTTTCTAACCTGTCACTACGTCCTCTTCATCACTAAGTGGGTTCTCTTCATTTACGTCTTCTCCGTGGCGACTTGGCGAAGAACTAGGCTTAACACAGCTGTCTGTCTCCGATGCTTGTGTCAGGTTAGACTTACACTCACCAAACTCACTTGAAATTGACGAAGTGCCGTTCTTTGCATCTTTGCGGACCAACCCACACTTGACATCGGCCGTTTCGTTCAGAATATCCCGAATAAAAAACGACGACGGTGTAGGACTCTCCGTAGAAGACCGACGATCATGAGGACACATGCCGTTTTCGTTACCTCTTTCTCCTGCCGACATATGCTCGGTAGACGCGCGGACTTCAATGGTCATGACTCTGAACTCGTTTTGTTGTCCAGCTCTTTGCCAACAACCCATATAAGAACCAATTAGGACAACTTGATCACAAACTGCGGCCAACCTTTAACGACCTGGTTTCGATTCTTCTTTGTAATTGAAAGTGTAGACATGGTTAATGGGCTGAGCTCAAAGCTTACTTTTCGCTTGCAGTCGACCCCGTGATTGACAAGATTTCGCGCACCTCCAACGTGTTTTCTTATGCATAGCACCGGGCCTTGATCCAATCATACAACTCTGTAAAACAACTTCGAATTAGTTGAACCAATCAGAAGCACAAGGACAACCATAAGCCGAACATAAAATTAAACAGCTGATAGGTCTCGATTTTAAGCATTTCGAATGGCGAACGATTTATTATGTAAATATTTTACATCCAAAAACGCATATTTTATAAACTATTTAATCTGTCTCTATACCATTAAGTTAATCTCTGAAAGGGAAACTATTTTCTCATGGAATTAGAGCAACTACGTTGAGCATGAATGTTATGAGAATTGATGAAATAATCATTGTCTAATTGTACTGATTTTAAAATGTTTACGGATTTTAATTTCACAGTAATTATTAGGGTGTGGTATGAATCTTTTGTAGGAAGTTCGTTTTTATGTTAAATGCTCAGCATGTTATAAAAGTATTTGGTAGGACTACAAGTTAAAGCTTATTTCAAAGCGTAGGCTTACTGGATTAACATAAATGGTTTAATATGTTTTTAAAATGAATGTTGTATGTTGAACATTATAATAAGAACGTTCATTCTACTTGTTAGACTAATGTTACATGTTTAACACAAACATAAGAATGTTTATTTTACTTGAATACCAACAATACTATGTTTACGGTATTTGTAGTGTAAAGGATGCTTGTTGAATATATTTAAGGTATTTGTAGTGTTAAGGATGCTTGTTGAATACTAACACAAGTATGCTTACGGTACTTGTAGTGTTAATTGTGCATGTTGAATACCAACAATACTATACTTACGGCATTTGTAGTGTTAAGGATGCTTGTTGAATACTAACTAACACAACTATGCTTACGGTACTTGTATTGTAAAGGGTGTTTGTTGAATACCAACACAACTATGTTTAAGTTACTTATAGTGTTAATGATGCTCGTTGAATACCAACACAAGTATTTTTAAGGTACTTATATTGTTAATGGTGCTCGTTGAATACTAACATAATTATGTTTACGATACTTGTAACGTTAAGGGTGCTTGTTGAATATAAACACAAGTATGTGTTACGGTACTTATAGTGTTAATGATGTTTGTTGAATACTAACACAAGTATGTTTACGGTACTTGTATTGTTAATGGTGTTTGTTGAATACTAACACAAATATGTTTACGGTACTTGTAGTGTTAATGGTGTTTGTTGAATACCAACACAAGTATGTCTATGGTACTTGTAGTGTTAATGATGTTTGTTGAATACTAACACAAGTATGTTTACGGTACTTGTAGTGTTTGTTGAATACCAACACAAGTATGTTTAAGGTATTTGTAGTATTAATGGTGCATGTTGAATACCAACACAAGTATGTTTACAGTACATGTAATGTTAATGGTGGCGAGTCGAGCGCCCTAATCATAATGTCATACCAAATTATAAGATCGTACCAAGCCTTGCATAAACATAGAAACAACAAAACAAGCAAATCGTAGTTTTTAAAAATAAATAACTTTTATACATCCATTTATTTAAAACTACTATAGAAAATCCTCACCACGCTAACTTATAAAACCCTCGTTACGTCACCGAACATGCTCGCCCTTTCAGCCGAGGGGGGCGTTATATTGCGACGGTCAATCTCAACATTTAGTTGGTAAAAAGAGTTGGCGGTAGGTGGTGTTGACTAGCTGCTATCCATCTAGTCTACCATTACAAAATTAGAGACGGCTTGCGCAGATAGCCCTCGAGCAGCTTTGGACGAAATTCCCAAAACAAACAAACAACACTTTCGTGTGTTTAAGTTAAAAATACGTGTTTCGTTTTACTTATTCGTGTTATTTATTTAGTTATTTTTTTCACATAAAAACATGCAGAATAACATCAGTCGATCTTTCCCAAAAATAACAGTTATCTCTGCATTGATATAGCAAAGCTGTTCTCTGTCTATCTAGTGTCACCAGTTATTGTTAGGAGCTGGAAGAACTGACTTCGGTTGAATTTGATAGAAGACTTTAAATAGATAAATAACAAAATGAATGGTTGGACTTTGGTAAATATTTCAAACTTATTATTTTAATGAGGGTTCCACTGAGCGAGGAGGTAGGTAGCAGAATTCTAAAATCCGGCGCCAAATAAGGATGACGTTAACTGCCGGGCGAAGCACGGGGACCTTAGCATTAGACGAACGATCTGTTTGCTACGGCTCATAATAGTGGAGGGGCGGCCCACTTGTAGTATTACTTATTTAAGCTCGGCATTGTCCGGTGCATTTTTTATATACGAAAGAACATAATATTATGGATCCTATAAAACAAGAAAAAGGTTTTCGAAGTCAGGAGTAGCGTAAGAATAGGGAAAATACCAAGCTGCCTTAGGGTTCCAAATACACGGGAGCTTCAATGTGGGTGGGGTCGCACCCTTAAGCTATCTCTAACCTGTTGAAAATTGTCCAAAAACGTTCAAACAGCATTTTTACTAATATCAAAGAAGTTTTCTAAATATATCATGAAGACAGTTTCATAAATATATAGATAGATAGATATCTTCATGTCTCAAACAAAGTTTTCTATTTTATACAATACAGAAACTGGACCTTCCCATTAGAATCTCAACCACCAACTGTCTTATAGAAGGCCTACTTGTTATCATAAACCCAATCATTAGAATCTCAACCACCAACTGTCTCATAGAAGGCCAACTTATTATCATAAACCCAACCATTAGAACCTCAACCACCAACTATCTCATATAAGGCCTACTTATTATCATAAACCCAACCATTATAATCTCAACCACCAACTGTCTCATAGAAGGCCAACTTATTATCATAAACCCAACCATTAGAATCTCAACCACCAACTGTCTCATAGAAGGCCTACTTATTATCATAAATCCAAACATCAGGTATCTCATAGAAGACCTACTTTGCATTATAAACTTAACCTCTAGCTGTCTCATTGAATGCCTTTTTATCATAAATTCAACAATAAAAAGCCTCACGAAAGGCCTCGGCCTGTTTTTTTTTATCATAAATTAAACCTCAACAGTTTCATAGAAGGCCTCCATGTTATCATAAATTCAACCACTACCTGTCTAATAGAAGGCCTCCTTCCTATCACAAAATCAACCACCAGATGTCTCATATCGTTTTTAAGTTGTGTATGGTTATTTCGGTGCTTGTATACGTTATATCTTGGTTGAAACTGAATGTGGGTATTGTTGTTCGCCGTTACTTAGCTGTTGTATACCTTGATTAGGTTCACAATGATTGCTATTTGTTGCCTGTGTTTACTTAGCTATTGTAGACTGTTACATATCTTGGTTGAAACTGAATGTGGGTATTATTGTTCGCCGTTACTTAGCTGTTGTGTACTGTTGTATACCTTGATTAGGTTCACAATGATTGCTATTTGTTGACTGTGTTTACTTAGCTATTGTAGACTGTTACATATCTTGGTTAGGTTTACTGTAATTGCTATTTGTTGATTGTGTTTACTTAGTTTTTTGTGTACTGTTGTATATCTTAGGTTGAAAGCGTTTACTTAACTTTGTGCTTGTAGTGTTTACTGTGTTGTTTATATGGTAGAAGTATTCACTGTATGTATAGCTTGTATTAGTTATTATGTTCACTTTGTCGTTTGAATTAGTAACTGAATCAACTTGATGTTAACTGTTTTCTTTGTATCTTTGACCGTGTTCACTACGTTATAGCATTATCATCAGTATTTTCTGTATTTATTTTTCATCTCAAACGCCCTGCTTTAATGTATGTTGACATCTTAAATTAAGTGTTATTGTTGTTCAATTATCTTATGCTGTTTTAAATTATTCCTCGTCCACTCCGGATTATAACTACCCCGTTTGCTCTCTTTTTAATACTTGAATTACAATCAATATTCAATATCATTACATCTGAAATAAGAGAGTGTATATTGTGATACGATATAGTCTGGGTAAGTTATAATGATACACAGTGAATTAAAATGATACGTTCGTGTTCTCTCTGAATTGATTAAAGCCTTTTTTTGTTCTATTTTCCTATATGAAATAGGCGGCGTATATTACCTTCTACTGGTAGATATAGATCTTAATTCGCAAGAGAATTTATTACTCATAAAATATCTCTTTTTCACAGAAAAAAATCATTAGCTTCAACGGATCCCCCAGGCAATATTATATTACATTTTTTTTATTTCTGTATTCTCGTCATGTAGCGAATAAAAAAGAAAGATTGAGGTGAAAATATGCGGTAATTTAATTATAAAACTGGCACAAAAACGATGTAGACGTTATCAAATGATAGGGTTGCCAATCCACGACTGTTCCCAGGTGTCTGAACCCTGAAGGCATGTAAAGTTGAGGAGAAATATGTAAATTTGCACTAGTTTTGTAGCTCTTCCCGTCCCTTGGTTCAAGTGTTACACAGTCTTTAGATATGATAGGGTTGCCAATCCACGACTGTTCCCAGGTGTCTGAACTCTGAAGGCATGTAAAGTTGAGGAGAAATATGTAAATTTGCACTAGTTTTGTAGCTCTTTCCGTCCCTTGGTTCAAGTGTTACACAGTCTTTAGATATGCGTTCCTTCTTTATACTGTGAAAGGAACGGTAAATTTTAACTTTTGTTACCTACTGCTTTTCAAGACTTTTGCGTGCGTGTTTTCAGCTATTGACTCAAAACAACTATGTCTTATCTTTTAATAAAGTACACAACACCGTTACAGATATCTTCCCGCCAACACAAGTATCATACATCTAACGTTTTGTTTCGCTAGTTCCGATTTTTATTATCCTTAATGGACATTGTAATGACGTTTAATCCCTTGTCTGCGTGCCGAACTGTGATTCTGATAGTGTATAATTCGTGTACCGGTGCCGCAAAATTAATGCGTTATCAGAGAGACGGTTAAATCCCACTAT